CCTGGACTGTGACATTTAGGCCGCCTTCAAAAGGCTCAAGAGCAGCTGGGCTACCACACCTCCCTGCCACTGGCTGCCTTCACCATGCTGCTAAATGATGCGCAGGCCGATGTCGACCTGCCTGAGCTCGACCCTGACGTTCATGCCGACCGGACCACCACTTGAGCATCACGACCATGCTGGTGAAGGAGGCATTGGCGAGCTGGAAGGGCAAGGTGGTGAAGGCTGCCATGGATAAGGTGATCTGGAGCCTCATTGTCAACGGCATGTGGGAGCTGGTTATGCGTCTGCGTAGCATCAACATGATGAACAACATGAAGTACCACGTCGAATAGACTGTCGCCCATGAGAAGGCACGCCTGGTCGTGAAGGGCTTCACGCTAGTATACAATGTCGACTACGATGAGATGTACGCGCTGGTCGGGAGCTACGTCACGCAGAGGATCTTCCACAGCATCGACGCCGTCCTTGACCTACTCATGATGCAACTTGACATGAAAAAACGTCTTTTTGCAGAGCAACCTTGACCGCATGCTCTACACCAACCAGTCGGACTACTACAACAACCGTTGCAAGCCGCTAAAACAGTCACCGCTATTGTGGTACTCGGCTCTCGATGTCGTGCTGGCCGTCGCTGGCTGTAACGAGAGCCAAGTCAACGAGGCCCTTTACTCCAAGATCGGCGACGATGGAGTGGCGTGCTAGGTGCTCTCGTCTACGTCGACGGCTTGCTTGCCGAAAGCAGCAGCACCGCAAAGCGGAAGGGGCTGAAGGAGCTGCTAGAAGCCCCATTTGAGTTGCGCGAGATCAGCTCGGTCAAGAATTACCTCGGGCTGGAGATTGTGCGCGACCGACCAGCAAGGAATTTGTGGCTCCACCAGCTGACCTACGTTGACAAGCTGCCTTGGCGCTTCACCGACGAGGAGCAGACAGGCCAAATCCCGAAGACGCTGGTCTCCATCGACACCTACGTGGAGCTGACGTTCAACGATGAGGAAGCTCAGGCACGTGAGGAGGGTACCGGTAGAAGGTCGGCTTGATGCAGTTCGTGGCGATTACGATGAGGGCGGACATTGCCATCGTGTGCAGCAAGATGGGGAGCGGCGACGGTGAGGAGCGACAATCTTTGGCGCAAGGTTGACCTCTACCTTCACTACCTCACTGACACCCGTGACGCCGCCCTGTGGCGGACCAAAATCGATGTGTCTGGTCGGCTACGCAGACACCGACGATGTCGGCGACAAGCAAGAATGCAACTATGTGTCCATCTTCAGGAGGGCCACCGTCTCCTCGACGAGTCATCGCATCAAGTGCAAGACGCACTCATCGACAGAGTCGGAGTACATTGTGGCCACCGAAGCTGGCAAGGGGACTCAATGACTCCGCTTCTTCTATGCTGTATTCCAGATGCTCGATGCTGGAAAGTGGAAAACCGGCCATCGCGGTCGTTGTGGGCTTGGGGACGAAGGGCAACCTCAAGCACATGGGGCGACGCTATGCCTGGCTGCAGCAGATTGTGAAGCACGAGAAGCTCGCTCTGCAGTACATCCCGACCACTGAGCAGTTGGCCAACTTCTTGACGGAAGCGCTGCACTTTCCGACCTTCAACCGGTGCTACGTCACGATCAGCCAAGTTCGCTTGGCTGACGTTGGCGACGGTGACGACGAATTGCAGTAGTAGGCGTCGTGCCCTTCTGCACGGTTGGTGCAGTGACAGGCGTGCACGCCGACAACGACTTTCTCTGTGTATTATATCCCTTGGGGGGGGGGGGGGGGGGGGGGGGGGGAGGGGGGGGGGGGAGGACGGTAGGGTAGACCTGTTGTGTGGGATGGGTGCCCAAGCATGAGCGGGGCACGGGAGTGTTAACGGGAGTTGGCCCCGCATGGCTTGGGCGAAGCTGGCTTCATGGTCGGGTGCGCGAGAGGTGCAGCCGACATCCTGCAATGGTCGACTCTGGTCTGGCGAGCAGGTCAACAAAGTTGTTCGACCTACAGGGGACCACTGCGACGCCGCCGACGGCGGGAAGCCAGCGGCTGACTTTGACGGAGGTAGTCGATGTAGGGGCTCGTTGACCTGACGGTGACGACTTGCAGGCGCCGACCTGGTGGATGCCGGGGCGTTACCGGGTCGACCTGGTCCGCCTGGTCGACTGCGTAACCAGGAGGGTGACGAAGTCCTGCAAAGGTGTCCGGGCGTCGCCCAGGAGATTCTGGCGAAGTCGACCTCGGGCTGGTATCTTGAGGTCGACAAGGTGCATCATGCGCAACCGATGGCACGTGGCCGACTCGGCACATGCGCAATGTCTGGGGATGGTGGTGCACGACGTGCTCAACTTGTCCATACGCACCTGTGAAGCGGGTGCGCACATGTGCGTACAACTACCGGTGGTTGCAACGCTGGCAAGCCGCTCTGGTGCAGCACTGGCAGGTCGCTGACTTGCAGTGCTGGCAAGCCGCCATCGAGCTGCGTAGGTAGTCTGCCGATGCTGCGGTGGTGGGCCGCCGACTTGTTGCGCTAACGGTCAACCTGCCTGCTTGCTAGGATGGTAGGTGCCGGATGTAGCCATTGTTGCCTATCACTCTTGCATCATTATATTATCATCCAACTTTTGTTAGTGAAACTCTTACCAGATTGCTCTATGAACACGCAAGCAATGATACAAGCAGAGCTACAGTCAGTCCTTCCCATGCCTTCCCCATAGTCTAGCTCCCACCTGTGTAGAGTGACTCCCGCAGAGACTACCACACTGACAACGTAGAACAGGCATAAGCAAAGAGCTCCCGGTCGGCGGGAGTAGGCTATGGAAGGAGGTCAGCGGGGAGCTAAGGAGATGACAGGTCAGCAGCTAGTGCCGTACTTCGCTCCTCCGTGGAGAGCGATTTAGCATGGTGGGGAGCAGTCAAGGGGGGTTCAATGCGGTGGAGTGCGATCGGGAGCGGTAAGGAGCGGTCTAGTGCGGCAGGGAGCGGGTTGGCATGTCGAGGAGCATGGTAGCGGTGCGTGCAGTTGCTGCTGCGCACGTCTGCTTGTGCGGGTGGCGTGCGTAGACCTGGGCGCGCGGGTGGCAGGGCAGGGCACAGTAAGGGAGGGGGCGGAGCGCGGGTAGGGTGCGCAGCGGCACGCGGCGGCGGTTTTATTGCGCGCAGCAGCGGCTGTTGTGCGTGCAGCACATGCAGTGCGTGTGCGCGGGGCTCTACGTGCACGCGCGCGCGCTGCTGTATGCGTGTGCAGGGCGCTGCTGCGCGTGCATGCTGCTGTGCACGCACTGTTGACAGACCTGTAGTAGGGATCCCCGATTGATCTTCGGGGGGGTACAAGAATGTTAGCCTTGGGGGGTTAGGGCGCAACAACCCGCATTTGGAACTATCCCAGTAGTTTAGTGACTGGGATTCTAACACGCGCGCGCGGGTCGTACAGCTTGGGTAGCACGGGCAGCGTAGGGCAGCGCATAACGGGGCGATTGAGGGCTACTCAAGGTGATACGGGGCGACACGGGGCGACACGGGACTATGGCCTAGGAACTAATTACCTAACACATACCATCTTAGAATCTAGGAAACATAGGTGATTAAGTTAGGTATGGAGAATGATGTTCACTAGTGAGGGAGAACGTACGAGTACAAGAGTCGAGAGAAAACCTATACCCTATAACATGCACATCACTACAGTCGAACAGACCTAACACATTTATGTGTGTACATACAAAGTTTAACACACCCAAGCTTTGGCTCCTAGCAGGCCCTCAAATTGTTTTAGAGGCACACTGATCACTATGCCTTGGAGGTGAAACTCTGATTTTCCGTGCTGTCTAAGGGCAAAACACTAATTTTATGTGTCCGAAAACAAAAAAAAGCCTGATAAATATACCATTATGTGATTGTGTTTCACATTACATGCACAGCAAGGCGCGGATCCCTTTCTCTTGGTTGAGGGGCAGGTATCATAAATCCCGTCTCTAGTCTCCCCAACGGCTAGAAAGAAAGGATGAGGTCCTTGAAACTTCAGAGCGGGCTTAACCAAAACTTTGAAAATACAATGTTACCAAAGCCAAAACACTGAAATTTTAGTGTTCACATAATTAAAAACGCTAAAAAGCCAGGGCCGGTACACAAAAACACCCTGAAAATCAGTAAGAACAGGACAAAAATCTCAGGGCCTGGCTACCAAGATTCACATGTACAATTGGCAAAAAAAAAAAAAAAAAAAATCACACACACATATACATATACACACACACAGACACACACACACACACACGCACACACATACACACACACACACGCACACACACACATGCACCCACCCACGCACCAACGCATGCACACCCACACGCACTCACACACGCTCGCACGCGCATACACGCACGCGCGCGCGCACACACACACGCACGCACGCACCCACGCACCCACGCACGCACCCACGCACCCACGCACCCACGCACGCACCCACGCACCCACGCACGCACCCACGCACGCACCCACGCACCCACGCACGCACCCACGCACCCACACACGCACGCACGCACGCACGCACGTACACACACGCACGCACCCACGCACCCACGCACACACCCACGTAAGCACCCATGCACCCACGCACACACGCACGCACACACACACACATACACAAAGCAGGAGGAAGTAGCAGGGGGAAAAAAAAAAAGCACTACCACTTTATGGCTATAGCAGCAACATAACGCAAGGAGGTTGGGCTCTTCATGAACGTGCTGAGAATAGCCGAGTAATGGACAAGGACTCGGGTCCGAGCCCAAGTCCGAGTGCAAGTCAGCGTGGTTGTCAAGAACATTCCATACCGGATAATCCAACAAAGAAGCACATGCGTGCGCTCATTGATACAATAATGGGTTTTCTATATCCTTTCCTTACTGATATGGCTATGATAGTAGTATCTTGTATTGAAGCACCACAAACAAAAGTATAATAAGTTTGTAAGTCGCCTCTTCTTCAACTTCACACTAGTGCATCCATCCCCTGTCTCATCATGTATCACTATCTATACCCTCTCCACTGCTCTGACCCTTCTCCCTCTCCCCCTCCCCCTGCTGCCCAGCCAACCAGAGAGGGTGAGGCAGCAACGAGCAGGGTGGGGTGACAAAAAGGAATTTCAAAAGGGCGGGGCAAACGGCAAGAAATGTTGCAAGGAGGGTGAGGGAGAGGAGGAGGAGGGAGATGGGTAGGCCAATGAAGGGGTAGAGTGCTGGGGCATGGGGCAGGCGGGGCAGGTTCATTGAGAGCGTCCCAGAAGATAGCCCTTCCCTGAAGAACAGTGGGTGATTGGGGCAGACACAAGAAGCAGAGTGAATAAGGGATGGTGGGGCAAATGGTTGTATGTGTGCGGAAATGAATAAACGGGTGGGCAAATGGTTGTATGTGTGCGAAAATGAATAAATGGGTGGGCAAATGGTTGTATGTTTGCGGAAATGACTAAACGGGAATGATTGTATGTGTGCGGAAACTAATAAACATGCGTTCGAATGGGTGAATGGGTGAGGAGGTTTGCGATGGCTCATTTTGAGGCATAATCTTCCAGCAGCAAGAGACACAGTGACAGCAGCAGCACGCACGCACCGTGCAGCAAGGGTGCGGTAGTGAGGAGACACGACTCCTGAAACCCCAACGGAGCAGCAACGCAGAAGAGTGAGGCCATTCTCTGCCGCTCTCACTGCGTCTCCATCAGAAAGCAGGTGGCCTGTGGCGCCCCACGACCAGCTGGGCTCCAGCAGAATGTCCACTCTGAGGGAGGCGGTGGGCCATGGTGGTTTTAGGGATGGGAGAAAAGTGGGGATGGGTTAGCATGGAACTGAATGCATTGGCCGCTGGCACTCCTTTACGTCATGGGTCTATGCTCCCCATGGCCATGGGGAGATTTCCACACGTGGAGGGAGATGGTGATGCCAGTTTGAGACGAAGGGCAGTCTCAGACTGGAATCACCACTCAGAGATTCACCACATGCAACAAGACACGGCAGGGCTTTGCACACACACATGCACGTACCCTTGTCTGCCGGCCTGGCGGATGAGTGCAGGGAACTGCATGTCAAGGCAGACGGCCACGGACATTCTCCCAAGTTCCGTGTCCACCACGGGCAGGGAACCAGAGCCCGGCAGGACGTCCGCCTCCACAGAGGGAAAGAGGTGCGACTTGTTGTAGTGCAGGATGTGGGCGCCGCTGGGGTCGATGAGGACAAACGTGTTGATGAAGATTTCCGGGACGAAGGTGATGAGCTGCGATGTGGTGAGGGGTTGGGGGTGAGGGATGCAGACAAGGGGAGGAGAGGGGAGGGGGAGTTTAGGGCAAAAGAAGGCGTGTCAAAGCTAATCCAGCACACATACACCTCTTAACCCATGCTGTTATGGAAATCAAACCCGCACCTTCACGTATGAAACGCCCAGGTATGGCCCAAGGACTGGTGAAGCTGCAGCATCCCCAGCAGCGGCGGCAGTGCGGTTGGCCCTGGCAGCGATGGCTAAGGCAGAGAGGTCAGCCAGGAGCTTGTCCTCCTCATGGTCGTACAGCAGAATGATTGTAGCCTCTGACCACAGGATCAACGCATCGCCTGCACTCGCTCTCTGCTGCGTCTGCTGCATCACCCGTGCTATGCCTGACACACGCCGCGCCTCCCATTCCTCCCACGTCCCTTTCGCCGGCGCTGCTGCTTCTCCTACCCCATCTGCTGTTTTTGCTCTTCCAGTTGCTCCTTCCCCTACTGCTGCTGCATATACTGCCCCTTCTGCATCTCCATTCCGCCCCTGTTGACACTCTCCCTGCCCCCTGCACTTCTCCCCTTCTCCCCCGTATCCCTTCAGCGCGGAGAGCGTGGGCAAAGACGTGGAGGCATTAGCAGCAGCAGAAAGCAGGTGGATCGATTCCGGATCCCTGGGAGGGATGGCTTCGGTGGGGGCTTGCAGGATGATGCAGGAGACAGGGACGGAGGGCATGATGGGTGCTCCTACCAGCTGCTGGTAGAATCTGATTGGGGATTGACCAAGGGGATGACGATGGGAGAGGGAGAGGGAGGGGAAGCGGAAGTGGGGGAGAGAGAAGGAGAGAGAGAAAAGAGCAAGAAAAAGGCACTTAGTCATTTCCCTTCCAGCCTAGGGAAGGGGCGTTAATTCCTTCTGGATTGGGGAGCATGACTGCTTGGAGATGGATGTTAAAAAAAGATAGAAAAACGATGGGCGGATGCAGAATTTGGAAACGTTGCGAGGGAAAGGAGGAAGGAAGGGGAGAAATGACGGGAGTTAGTTAAGGGAAGTAGAACGTGAGAGTTGGCAGTGCAGCAATAGTACCTGGATGAGAACACAATCTCTCGCGCTGACCCGGCAGCCATCAGCACCACCAGCAGTGCCACACTTATTCCCACATGGCCCCTCCCGCTGCTGCCTACCCCGAGCCTGTTGTTTCCCCCAACTGCACCTCTTCCCCTTACCGCACCTGCCCCTTCTCCTCCTCCTACTACTCCATTCCTCACTGCACTAACACCGCTGCAGGCCTCACCAAACACTTGACTTCTACCCTTCTCCCTCTCCCCCTCCCCAGGACACCTCATATGCTCTTCCCCTCTCCCGCCCCCCTCCTCCCCAACCTCACCCCCACTCCCACCCCCTCTCCGACCCCGGCTCCACCCTTCCTCGCCCATCCCCGCCGCATCCCCCTCGCACATCATCTGGTGAATACCCGCCACCAACCAGCCCACCAGCAGCAGGACACCATCCATGCCCACAAACGACGTGGCTTGCACGAGCGGCAGCAGGGTGCACAGCGAGTAGAACGGGTGGGCTAAGGCACCAAAGGGGGAGAGCAGCGAGAGGAAGCTCCAGATAGAGGCGGAGACGAGGGGGAAGACGAGCGGATGCAGGTGTGGTGAGCGCCTGCGGTGGGGGGAGGGGAGCGGGAGGAAAGGGAGAGGGGTGCAGGAGGGCAGAAGTGACTTTGGAGCGAGTAGAAAGAGGTGGGCAGTGGACCAAAGGGTGAGAGGGAGAGGGAGAGGGAGGGAGGGGGACAGAGGGAGAGAGGGAGAGAGGGAGGGAAGAGGGACACTGAGGTGGAAACAGGAAAGGACACTGAGGAGGAGTCAGCGCGAGATAGACATCACGCGCAACTTTTAGGCTCCTCAAAACTAGTGCCATCACGCTGTCACAACAAGCCAACACGTTCAAACGCTGCTGCTCCTCCCTCACTCCATCGCACCTGTAGGTGAAGCGGAAGAGCGAGTCAGCAAGGCATGGCAGCACGTTGGCAACCGCGACATGGCAGGAGGCGACGATGTTGGCCGCCAAGCTCAAGGCGTAGTTTCCGTACGCCACTGTCGTGCCGCATGCCTGTGGGGACGTGCCGCACATCATGCACACACACGCACACACGCACATCACAAGGGTGAGTATGAGACCCAGCCACCACTGTGGCACAACTTGTGGTGTGCGTTGAATCCAGATGCCAGCTGCGTGGACCAATGCACCAACTACCATGTGGCGGCTACCTGCGTTGCGATAACGACGACGGTGAGTGCAACGACGTCCCGCCACGACCGGTCGCCCACGCGCGCCGCGGAGAAGAAGCGGAGCGTCAGCAGCTGCTGCAGCCACGCCGCCAGGAACACGTCCTGCAGTCCAGTGAACGCGGTGCATATCGAGGCGAACACAAGCAGGGAAAAGGGGCTGCGGGCACCGTCGAGTGGGGCAAAGGGGCCGCCCTTCGCCATTGATGGAAAGAGGCACCAAAAACTGAAATCGACAGGGGAAGCCACCTGTTGCGTCATCACTTCGAAACAACGTCGGGAACGAGGGGACCTTAGAAGTTGCTGTGGCTTTGAAGAGCCGTGAATTCTCAAACCGAATCTCGTTTGCGATAACAGCGTCATGACATGACATTTTGTACCCACCGCCAGGCTCAACTACTACCTAGCCTTTTCAACCAGTGGTTGTACACGAAATACCACGTTTGGACCGAGGGGCCGAGGCCCAACTACCTAGTCTGGTTGTACAGGTAATAACATGTTTGTACCCGTGCGCCGAGTCCCAACTACCTATGAGCCGGGTTGTAATAACAGTGAACATATGTGCCCGGCAGTTGCTGTCGGGGCGACAGGAACATTGACTGTGCTGGCCGTTGGTCATAATAGTCCCACTACAGTACACCCTGATGCTCACTCAACTGCCCACTTTGAACACGTCTACTGCTACTCCATATGCCCAATGGTCGACATTCATAGCCAACGGCCCGCTCGTTACTGGCCCACGACAAAACCAATATACTCTTGACCTCGAATAAGTTATTCGAGTTTCCCAGACAAAACACGCTGGGCTACCCATGATTATAGCGACTGTTCTACATTCAGTCCCATTTTGCCCCTAGCGGGCACGTGCCCGAGAGAGGAGCACAGGGAAAGATGGGGAACGGGACTGAAATAGGCATCAGATGTACACACAAAAATTGGTCATGAGAGGCCGTTGAGGGACCCACAACCTTTTTAGGACGTGGATTAGACCGCCTCTGACCGGCGCTTATCTGATCGGGTTGGATCTGATCGGGTTGCTTCTGATTGCATTGCTCGCGCCGCCCGATCAGTGCTGATATTCCTGAAAAACTCAAGACGCCTGCCTCGCAAACGTGTCAGCATTTCCTGATTCTTTCGTCCCAAGTTTGGCGAAAGCGAGACGTAGCGAATTTTCTGTTTCCACGTAATATCGCAAATTACACTTAAGATAATGTTTGCGCGATTGTGTGACGAGCTCAACGAGACAGCGTAACTTTTTCGCAAGCGTCGCCAGGATTCCCATCGCATGCAATCAACTGATCGTGACTGATTGTGTGTGATCGTTATGTATTGGGGTGTTTGAGGCGGTTGATGAGTTGGGGCGATCAATTGATCGCGATCAGTTGATTGCCCCTGATTGCTTGAAATCGGCAAAGGGCTTCCTGGAAGTTATTGACCGCCTCTGATCGAGGCAATCAGAGGCGGTATGGGCCACGTCCTCAGGACAACCCTTTTTTAGTCGACCCTTTTTTAGTCAACCCTTTTTTAGTCAACTCAAAAGTAAAAAGCTGGTCATGTTGGCCGTTGGTTTTGCAAATACTGTAGTAGTATTCCCAACGCACTCGATGTGCCACGCGATGCTGTGAAAGCGTTGACTTTGGCTGCGTTCTGTGGGCGCATCAGCTCTGATGCGCCCTAGGCTCGGCCTGACCTGCACATTGACAATTTGAGGTTCGGGAATGAGGAATTTGAAATTGAAAAATAGAGGTTTGGAAAATGGAGATTGAGGTTCGGGAAATCGGAAATTGGAGATTTCGAATTTCGGGCATGTCAAATCTCGATCTCGAATTTCCGAGGAATTCCAGGGTGCTGGGGCTAAGTTTCTCTTGAAGCCTGAAATTGATGGGTTGCAGAATTTCTGGCCCTGATTCATGATGTTCACAGTTAGAGCTTGTCTCCCTTACCACGACGCATGAATGGTGCTCGAACCTGCATGAATATTCAGTAGGCGGTGCATAATAGAAACATGGGGCGCAATGCAGTTTATGATGTTTTTGGGTGTCACAAAATGATTGAGACACAAATGTTCACACAGGAATGTTCCCTTAGTGTGACTGTGAAAATGCTAGATGAGCTGATGACTATGGAAATGCTAGTGAATACACGAGGTCTTCAATGCTGTCTGGTATTGACCAAATTTACAATGTAGTATGGTGTGTGTAGTGTAGTGTCATCTGTGTAACATGGATATTTCCACCCTAACCCTGAAGCCTAAATAGTTGTAATTAGCCCTGGACATGCGAAACTCATGGTCGTACATGCCGGGCCCCCTGATTTGTCCGGGTCAGGGATGTTGCTACCAGGGCGTTTGCCCTGCTGGACCTTGAATTCCAGGGCTGGGTTGACCTTGAAATCTGAAAATGGTTGAAAAGAGTCTGGCCCTGATTCCTTACAGGGCTGATTTTGGTCTTAGGCCTGGTGTGTAAAGGGTCGAATTTAGGCGAGCCCTAGAACAAAGACTTTTGAGCCCCCACCCCTCCCACCTCTCAACTCCCCCTCCCCCCCTCCCCCCCCCCCCGGTTTCTATCGTGGTTGCATCCAATCTGGCAAATTTGGATTTGCGTAGTTGGGCCAAAAATATAACTCGACCTTGTTGTAGCACTTGCAGAGTGTAAGCTTTGTGGTTGAAATGAGGCTGCAGAATTCTCCGCGGCATACCTGATTTAAAGGAGGAAAAAACTCTATCTATGAAGCCTAAAGGGCAGAGATTCGCCCCGACCCTGTTAAATACAAGGCCGTACATGCCGGCCCCCCTGATTTGTCCGGGGGGGCCCAAAACGAAACGACAGTCCAGGTTCGGGTACCCCAAAACCAAAGGACGGCACTGGTTCCGACCAAACGAAAATAGTCAGCTGCAGAACGATGCAACGTCATCAGAAGACAATCAAGCAACAACAGTTTCATGCTCTGGCAAATCGTGGGCTTGTGGTACAGTCAGTGCCCATTACTGTTAACAGGAATTGAGAGTTGGCCCCGTATTCGCTAGGGCGGAGCCGACTTCTTGGTCGGGTGTGCGGAAGCTGCAGCCGACCGACTGAAGTGGGCAACGTCGACTTAGGCAAGCAAGACGACGAACTTGGTCGACCTGCACGGGGCCACTGCGAAGCCATCAACGACGGGAAGCCAGTGGCTGAGTTCACTTGGTGGCCGCGAAGGGACTCGTCGACTTGGGAAGGGCGCCGACCTGTGAAAGCCGACTTGGAGAAGTCGGCGGACAGCTGGTGTGGTCGACTTGGAGTTCGTCGGCCTGCACAATGGCCGACTTGGTGAAGTCGATTGATGGTCGACGACATGGGTTGCCGCCGAGCCCGTGCAACAGTTGGTCGACTACTGCCACGCAAGTCGACACCGACTTTGCGTTTCCGGGTCGACCAAGTTACCAGGGCGACGAGGTTCTGTAGGGTGCGCGACCGTCTCCCAGGGGATTCTGGCGAAGCCGCCCTTTTTGTGGTATCCCAAGGTCGACGTGGCTCATCAGGCGCGGCCAACGACACGTCCGACTTGGCACATGCGCCGTGCACGTGACGGTGCTATCACATGCGGGTGCAACGTTGGACAGCCGCTTTGCTACAGCGTTGGCACACCGTCGACTTGCAACGTTGGCAAACCGCCTTCCTGCAGCGCTGGAGCGGTCCGGACTTGCAGTGCTGGCAGGTCGCCAACTTTGCTGCGCTTCAAGTCGACCTGTCTGTGTGCTAGGCAGACTTGCATATAATGTAGCAATTGCTGCCAACATTCTGTAATGCAGTCTTTGCTAGTGAAGCTCTTGCCAATGCTTTGCGTGAATATGTGCATAGAGTGGACATGAACAAACACAGACAAAGCTACGATTACGTTTTGGCTTACTTGCGCCCTCCTCGCAACAGACAAAATTGTGATCGTAAAGTGGAATTGGAATGCAAGTCGAATGTGGGTGTTCAATATTTGCAACCAAGTAAACATTTCTGATTACGTATGCGATGGGCAACCCTTGTTGGTTATAAAATGTAGATGTTGGCTTCCGCTATTCGGGACTGTACCCCGAACTTAGTACAATGCTCTGTTAACGGGAATGGAGTGTTGGCCCCGCCCTCGCTTGGGCGACGCCGACGTCCTGGTCGGATGTACGGGAGAAGCAGGCAACCGTTCGCAGTAAGAGAGCTGCTCGACGGGGTTTGTCGAGCTGCTCGACGGGGTTTGTCGAGCTGCAGGGGATCCCTGTAATGTTGCCGTCGTCCAGGGAGCTCAACGGCCTTCTTCTACGAGGCAGGTCGACAAGGTGGTCGTCGACTTGCATAAGTCTGTCGCGGGGCTGGAGCCGTCGACCAGGGGAGCTCGACGTCTGCAGCTTACTGGGCTAGTCGACGGTTGGGCCGTTGACCAGGGGGAGCAGTTCGATGGTGAGGTCAATGGAGCAGTTCGTCGACTTGCGTAGGACATGTGAGCAGCAGTCGACGAGGGGAGCTCCGCGACAGCAGCAGTAGACCAGGGTGTTGCTCGATGGGAGCTATGGTAGACGAGGGAGTCGTCGACAGGAGCACCGGGTGGTCGACCAAGTCGACCGAGGAACTTGCTCGGCGAGTTCCGCGGAGGCACGAGAACGTTGTCGAGGTCGGCTGGTATCCTGAAGTCGATGTGGCTCGTCTGGCGCAGACCAGGGCCGACGGATGCACAACGATGTAAGTTGGGCCAATCGTCTGTGCTCACTTGCGAGCATGCACACTGCTGCCATCTATGGGTGCAACGCTGGACTGCCGCTCTGCTGCAGCGTTGGCACGCCGTCGACCTACTGCGTTGGTAGGTCGCGTTTCTACAGTGCTGGAGCGGCTCCTCTACGCAACGTTGGCAGGCGGTCGACCAAGCTATGCTAGGGGTCGACCAGGCTAGCTGCAGCGTTGCTAGGTGCCTGATATAGTCATTGTTGTCATTGCTTGTTTAATCATTCAGTAATCTCATCTTTGCTAGTGGAAACTCTTGTCGATTTTTCCCGTGATTGTGCAAGGGTTAAGGAACTAGACAAAGCTACGATCACTCCTAGAAGCTTGTTCCACCACCCCGCAGTCTAGCTTACGACTATTGTAGAGTGACTCTTCGCATGGTGCGGTGAGCGTGGACGGCCCCACAAATTACCTTCAGATAGGAGCCGACTTTTGCACCCACTAAGTCGTTCGTAGGCCGGCAGCACG